TATGAATAGATTGTAATGTATCCTCTCCCAAGTGTACACCACACTCTCTCCACCACACATTTTTTGGCGTGGATAAGAAAAATAGGAAGAAAGACCAAAGTAGGACTAAAATATTAAAAATATACCAAAATAGAATTTTCATGTTTTTTTTTTCGAAATAGGACTTAAAATGCATTTACATTATCAAACATGGTCATGTACATTACCAAAAAGTATAGTAATATGCACATGTACAATGTCAGATAACCACAGCGCGAAGTCCTATTTTGGAAAAAAAAACATGAAAGTTTTATTTTGGTACTTTTCTTTATGTTTTAGTCCTATTTAAGGCGATTTCTAAAAAATAAAGAATGGATAAAGAATGTGTGACGATGAGAGTAATGGTGTACAAATGAGATACATTTTTGATGTACCCCTAGCATTACTCTGCATTATTGTAATTAAGTCAATAGCATTAAAAATATATACTTTATGAATCATGATGATATTTTACTACTATGGGCCTTTTTAAAAAAAATCTAAATAAGACTAAAACATGTTTCACAAATCAAAATAAGATCTTCAACTTTTTAATATCAAAATAAATTTTACATTATTAAAAAATATCAGCACATAATTTTTTAAAAAAATGCAAAGCACTAATACATAATGCTAAATTGCTACATTTCACTATATCACCACTCTTATTTAAGAGAGATAAATATAGATAGTTTTATTTTTTATATAAGTTTTATTTTTAGCCTCATTCATTATATTTTCTTGTTTTCTAATAGTGAAAATTAATTTTGAAAATGCAAAAAATTAATCAATATAATGTCATTAGATTATCTACTATAAATGAGGATGTTACCCTTTATGTTAATAATAACCAGCCATTACTAATGTCTTTTCTCTTGACATTAATTATTTATTCAATAATTGTTTTACTCAAATAATAATGGGGTACATGACAGAGTATATATTACTCCCTCCGTCCGGGAATAAACTTCTTACTTTGACTTTTCCTCATTTTTAGTGGGTGTTGAATATGGGTGTAATTTGCCTGAAATGCCCTCCTTCTCCCTCTCCTTTTACCAGCCCTGCCCTGCTGATACGGAATAATATCCGTATCACCATCACAAATCTCCAAGCAGAGATCCGCCCCACTGCTACCCCTGACCCACTGCTGCCCCACCGCTGCACCAACGTCATCGCCGGCCTATCTCTGCCTCAGTCTCACCAGCAGTCCACCACCGCACCGCCCACCTGCCCCCACAGCCACAGATCTAACACAAATCTATAAGAAGGAGAAG